TCCCCTAAGAATCCCAGTCGCCCTTTAAAAGGGGGAGTATATAAGGTATTTCTCCCCCTTTCCTAGCGTGCTTTCGTGGTGTAGTGCTTCTGCACTCTGGGCCGGTATTCCAGGTGTCCGTAGTTCGATTCCCGGCGAAAGCGATTGCTCATTTTTCGTCTTGCCCGTTTCCAAAAATACACCTAATGTCTCTACAGTATAAAAAAAGTTTTCTGTCTCCATCTCCCCTTTTTTCCCCAAAAAAAAGTTTATTAATTCTACAGTCACTATTTCCTTTATTTTACCTTTTTTTTCCCTATCCTCACTCACCCTTTAAATGAGGATAGACTATAAGCCCCATCTTTCGGGTGTTTTCAACATGCGCAACAGCCAACACATCCTGCTCTCAGTCGGAAGATCAGTGGTTTGACTCCCAGCTAGTCAAAGTTGATTTTTCACGTTTCTTGCTCCAAAAGACCTAATTTTCTAAAATGTTCTACAAAATTATTTGTCTATTGCTAGCTAGTTGTCATCCATCTCTTATATACATCTAACACCTATGTTTAACTTTCTCGCTCTCATTGCTTGTTATAACTTTGTTTTAAGTATAAAAACTGAAAAGCTTAACCAAGTTTTTTCCATTCAACGATAGTTTTCTATTTGCAAGCAGAAATATTGCTCATCCTTAAGTATGTGTCATATGCGTATAATTATCTTAGGTTACTGCAACAAGGAACAAATTTACATATATAGGTGTATTATTTTTTCATTCAATTTTAGTTAATGAAGATAATTTATTAAAGATAAAAAAAAGCCTACGTCTTTTATCATGAAGTAATTACGTAGTACTTTATCCATTACTTTAGTCATGGCTTTAACGGATTGCTTAAATCGTAACCAAAGGTCAATAAATGAAACTAAAACTTTCATTTTTATATACACAGCAGAACAGTTTAGAATCACGTCAAAAGCTAATGTTAGAATCTATTATAATCCACCAAAAATCCGAATTCATTTACAATATGATGGTTGAAATCATAATATCATTTAAAAGAATGAGGTTTGATTAGAAGCTTGATGTTCTGGGCATTGAGTTTTTAAAGAATTTTTTCGGTTTTGATGTGATTTCCTATGCATTAATGTCCCTCATGAAAGGACAGCAGGAATTTTTTTCAACATTTTAATCTCCCAGCTCAGAAATAAGCATGTATTGTAGTAAAGAATTAATTAATTATTCCTCTTCCCAATTTTCTACAGCTGAAAACTCTGCATGTGGAAAGAAAAGAAATGTAATCTTTTCGAAGTGCCGAATATCTTATTTACACCAGACAACGAGTAAGAAGACACCGTAGGCTAGAGCAAATTTATTTGCATTTAATTACAGTTTAGAAGATTAATTTTTTCGCTCAGGTCCAACTACATTTTGGGGGGGGGGGGACAATTTTCTTATTTCAACATAACTGCATCCTTAATTTTTCAAATTTTTTCTTTAAAAGCCATTTCATTACAGGAAAGAAAACCTAGCTTATGCAGAGTAGTTATGTATATTATCAAGTACTTATAAGTAATTTTCACCACTCCTAAAGATTGTATGCGCGACAAAATCGTGCAGCATTGTCTTTTTAGGCACGCATCTCCATTTTCCTACTTGTTGCAGGGCGTTTCGTGCCATGTGCACTTCCTGAGGAATTCCCTTCTGTAGGATCTTTCATCTAACCCCATTTTGACCCTCATTTCCATTGTGGGAGAAGGACTCTCCTTTATTTCCGAGACAGAATAACTAAAGAGAGTAATGACTTAATGACTACGTCATTCTCTCCAAATTGTGTCAAATTCGTGTTCGAACCTGCCCACTACTTTTTGACAAAATAATTTGTTGATGGCATTTATTTTATTTTCGGCTTTATTGTTTCTTTTCACTTCTCGTAAAAGCTTCCGAATTCCTTTATTTTTATTCTGGAATCCTAACTGATATGATGATATTCCCAATATGTCCTACTTTTATGTGGAAATATTGCTGGCATATGTTGCAAAATGATTTATGAAAAATGTCGGCGAAACTAGAATAAGATAAGGTAAATTTACATCAGATAAATGCAATGAAATGGGAAAAAACTGTGCCTTAAAATTCCACTTCCCCTTCTTGAAACTGCTACCTCCTGGGTTCGACATTAACAAGTTATTATTAGAATTCCAAGGTTCATTAAAATAAAAATGAATATGTTAATTCAAGAAAAGCATACTGATTTAGCAGCCATATTTGTTTATATTTGAAACTTAAAAGAATAGTGAATTAAGTCTTTCTGCACCTTCAGTGTCTTTCTTTCGAGTGGGACCAAAAGAAAACACCGAAAAATCTGCCTTCTTACCTGCTGGCCGAATTGCTTGTTTTTGCGCAGAAACTCTAATTTTAATTGAATTTTTTTTTAAATTATTTTAACTGTATTTGGTGATTTATGTTTTTTTATATCTTTCAATTTTTAATGAAGATATATTGAGTTTTTATGTATTTTTGCCTTACCACGAAGCGAGAACAGAATTAATTTAATGAGAAATATATCTCGAATGAAATTCGAGGAAATAATTGTTTCGTATTAACAGCAAATATTGTCGCCAGGTTGTCTCGAACAGAGGAGGATGTTTAAGAGTAGCACAGCGCATTAGGTAAGCCTGTGAAATCGCCTGTGAATTTGTTTAATTTCTTTTGTACATTGTTTTAGATTTATTATTGTATTTGAATAGAACATGTGGCAACAATTTTATAATTCTTCAGATGATACAATTTTTGTGCAGTCTAAGTTATAAAATGAATGAGATGTAACTCTGTTAAGTTAACCTAGCGCAAGAGCGTCGCTATGGTAAATCAATATAGTGAGTTTTTAAGAGTACATTTAGTCTATTGTGCTTTACGAGCTATCGACAAAGTAAATTTAATTCAGTTCAATAAATTTAAATGAAATGCAGGAAAAAATGTGTATAACTTAATATTTCATAGAAAGAAGTCTTGTTGTACACACATCAGATTTTTTTTTTTATTTCTGCTTTTAAGATTTATTTATTCACAACTTTATAGAAAATGTCTTTCTGAGAAATGTTTCGTCTTTTTTTTTAATTTTAAATGGCGCATACCATTAGAATTCGAAATAGAGTGTTAAATGTTGCCATATAATTTTTATTTTGTGCATATTTTTTTCTAAAATTGATTAAAATTTTGGAAATGATTACGTTACAAGTACTAATGCAAGAAAATTGTTTTAACATTAAAACAAATACTTACATTAATCCAAAGATTTGAGCTACTAGATTTGATCTCGTAAAAGAATATGGAATTGGCATGCAAACTGTTCGTGATACTGTAAAACAAGCTAGAAGCCTTCACAAGAGTTTGTGACAAAAATTGAGGTAATAACTGAAGTTGTATGCCAAGAGAAAAAAAAAAAAGGAAAAAAAAAATTGAAAATGTAAAATTCTTCGAAAAGTTGATTGGGAAAATATCGAAGAATGGTTTGGCTCTCGGTGCTTGAGTGATGAGGATATCGTCTGAAATGTTACAAAAACAGAAGAGGCAGAGAGTGATACTGAAAAGAAGCGAAGAAGATAATGACAGCTAGTCCGGAGACAGTAATGACTTCTATTGAAACTCTACTGGACTTCGTCGACCGAATTCGAAGGCCTACTCGCCTTCCTCTAGCACAAAGCCACCCGAGAGGACTTTTGTCTCGTCGTATAATTTGGAGTGTCGCAAAGACTCTATGCATTTACAATATTCGTGCCTTTCTCGGAATTCGGACCTGAGACCTTCGATACGGTAACCGGAGTCACTAACCACTATCCCGTTGGGCGATCATGATATTATTTATCTTAAATTAGTTAAATATAATCAATCATCACGTATTTAGTCTTTCACTATGAAAATTCTCACGAGTTCAAATGACGATGAGATCGAATTGGTAAATCAAACATAAATTTATACGATCTGAATGTAATCTCATGCCTCGAATAAATAAATTTAAAAAAGTCTGGAAAGAACGCTGATCTCATGAAAAATGTGATTAGATGGACTATTTTTTCTACGATGAGAGATAATAATTTTCTTTCCGTGTTTACCCCTTTCCCCATTCTATAAACTAAAATGAAAAGAAAAATTCACTTTAAAACATTTTTTTAATTATACAATTTTAATTAAATAAAACTATTACTTTAACTACCGCAAAATTCTTGTTCATGAGCGGTTGCATTTAAAACCGTCTGCCGCAAATATGAGAATTGTGCTGGGATATAAAAAGCGTTTTAAAGAATTGTAGAAGCTGCAGAATAAAAATGGCATCTATAAGTTTGATTACATTTGGTCTTTTATCTTTTCAATTTATCTGAGATGATTTGAAATTCATCATTGATAGAAGCTCAAAGATTTTATTTCTACTCATTTCTGATCTAAAATTAATCATTGATAGAAGATTTTATTTCTACTCACTTATGACCTAAGACATTGTGGTAACTAAAAAAAGTATTTTTAACTATGCAGTTAATTTATCTATTTAAATGGTGGTTTTCTCCACTTGTGAAATGTGAATATGATTTTTTTTAAGCTCTGCACAAAGGTATCTGGTATCTATTCCGGTTAGGAAATACCTTTGCCTGTATCAAATAATCCAGTCTAATATTTGTGTAAATTAAAAACGTTTTTATTTTATTTATTTATTTATTTTAGTATGATTCTTGCCCCCTCGGTATTTCTGTGAACATTTCGCGACGAAGAAATGAGTAGATGTAACAGAAAATTATTTTAAGCTAATAAGATTCTCACATTTGATTTTTCCGTACTGAAACAAATATCAGCATCCTAAAATGAGAAGCAGATCTCTTTCTTCGCTTAACCTGAAATCGGGCGGAACGAACTATAAAGCTTAATGAATAAAAAAATAAATAAATAAAAGAAAGAACAAACAGCGACAAACCGAAGACACACTTCTCCGACCGCGGAGAAGACACTACACGCTTCACCGCCCTCCAAGACGCACGATTGGCGCACGCCCCGGCAGACGACACTACGGTATAGTTCCCTCCTCTTCCCCCCTCCTCCGCCAATGGATTGCCTCAGCAAGAAACCAGCCCTCCTGAACGGCCCGCACAGCGTCGCCGGCCTCCGAAGAGTGCACGCCATTGCCGACGACGGTCCAGTTTTGGAGATCTCTGCTTTTTAAATTGCTCGCGACGTGAGAAAAGCGGCCTCGCGCCAAGTGTTTTCGACTCGGCGGTGGCGCATGTCGGTGGCCACGGGGAACCCAGTGGCGGAGGGCATGCGGTGGCAGTCGCCGCATGCGGCAGGAAAGAGCTCAGCGGGAGTGGGAATGGCTTCCGAAATGGCCGATTTTCATGATGTAAGTACCCGAATGTTTTCTTTTTTTCTCTCTCTTTAATTTAGTGATGTACGCCATTTATTTAACTTTGAACATTTATAGGCTAACATTTCCAGCTAAATCATATCCAAATGTTATATATCTTTCTTTTTGGATTAAGTTTCCTACGTAACGTTTTCTTTTCTTTTTTTTTTTTTTTTTTTTTTTGAGGAATGATTGATTGTCTTAGGAATAAACTTATATGCAAATGAATAACACAATCATATGCACATATAAAGGATTATTCTGTAGGAGAAATTATAAGATAAATAATATAAAGTAAAGAAGGAACATATGTTAGTAATTGTACGTTACGCTGTGTATATGTTGATGAAAAATTTAGTTATATGTAATTTTATAAGCATTATTTATAAATACTTTGTCAATGATTGATATAAACAATTAAACGAAAATGCTTTGTTATAATTTGAAACTAAAAAATACACATATGTAATTGAAAATCACTTCTGGTGATGCCGTAGATGTTGCGTGAAGAAGTAAATACGTAACAATATATTTGCAATCATGGTCGGTTGAACACTTCTTTATACTAAAAACAAAACAAAAAAAAAATTCTCAACATACGCAGATAAATTGATGCGATATGTTTGTTCTTTGCTCTTCAAGAACGTATATTTCTAAATCTATAGCAATGTATCTGATGTAAGAAAGCGAAACGACAGAATGCCCGTTAGAAGGACATAGAAGTTAAGAAGAAATGATATTAATAGGATAGTTAGTGAAGTTACAGTTCAGCTTTATTGATTAATTAAGATTTCGGTTTGAAAAAATTAAACATTACTATCACTTACAACACTTTTCGAGTTTTATTAAGTATATGGGTCGTGAGCATTTATATAAGAATCTTATGGCAGGGATTCATTCCGAAAACACAATTTAGAAATATTTATTATAATCATGCTACGATATTTAAGATAGAAAAGGGAAAGTAACGAAATTAAGGAGATCTGAATGCACATGACAAATAAAAATTAGAATTTTATTTCACATATTCTTTATCTTACATATGTAAAAAGATTACAGTCATTAAGAACTGCATTTATATTGTTTTTAAATTGATCATTTGCACTCATAACTTATGCAAAGTAATCTTTTAAAAGTCAAATGCTGCGTAAAATAGCCAGTCCTTCTGAAAATTTACAATTTTGGGCAGATGTTGTGGAAGCTTATTAAAGATCTTAAGTTGCACGGAATGGCAACAGCTCTGAAATTTGATTTGTCGGGTAGACTAATTAATGAAAGGGAAATTAGATGGTCAGTGAAAATTTACTTTGATTGATTACTCTTCAGGTTTTGTTTAGTTGCTGTTTTATTTCAGCTACTATCTGAACAAAGTTGGTTTTTAAGCATAATTTATCTTGCGGGGCGGGAAGGGGATTTGAAAGGTTTCCGATGTTAACGTTCGCCTAGAAGGGTTTGTTTGTTAAGGTTTTTTTTACGCTTTCGTTGAGCTGGCAGTCCACCAATCTGCTGTTTCGTTCATTCCTGCTAACCCAATTCTTTTTATCTTTTTAGCTTTACTACATTAAGTATCGTTTCTTTGCACTTACGCTATATATTATTCAACAGCAAAATTTTAAAAAATATTAAAATCAAGATAGCAACATATGTTTGGAATTCCCTATGCAGTGCTAAGTTGTTGGCATAAACACTTTTCTGTTCTCTCCACCCCCCATTATTTTCACAGTTGATAATATCAATGTTCATTTGCCTTATTAAGATGGCTTTGTAAAACTTTTTTTTTATCTTTTTAATCTTAACTCTTTGTGTGTTAAATTTATTTATTAAACACGACGATTTCTTGCCGTTACGCCACGTAAAATTCTATTCAACAGCAAAATTACAAAATATTAAAAATAGCATAACTTTAGAATTCACGATAGACAGTCAAGTTGCAGATAAAAATGCTTTATTCCGTTCAGTGTTGCCAATGTTCACTTTGAAATCATTGAATTTGTTAATTAAAAAATTCGTTAAAGTTTTACAAAGTATGAAATAAATACTAAACAAATTCGAAATTCAAAATTCGGGTTTCCAGATGCGCATGTTCCGGTGGAGGACTAAATTATTCAAAATTTGATAGCTGTAGGTGCCGTTGCTTTTTCACAGTGCGATTCTTCATTATTTAATTTCTTTAAATGGAATGCAGGGTGTTAATACTAGGTGGCAACAATTTGAAAAGTGATTCTGACTTTTATAGCGAATTCAACGCAAGATCCGGTTTTAAAGCTAAGCTTATTTGAGCTAAAAAATGACAGATTATTATTTATTATAAATATTCAATGTTTGGGAAGACTTTTGATTTCACTTAAAGATCTTGACATCAAGACCAAAAGTAAATAAAGAAAACGAAAATTAAAATGTAAAAATTCAAATTAATTGTTAATTACTAAATGTAATTAATTATTAATTGCAAATTTCTTTGAAATGAAAACTCAATTATAAATTACACGGTAGTTACTGATTAACGATAGTGTAGTGCAACTGAAAGTTTAATGAACATTTATTTATTTATTTATTTAAGTTACATAGCATTCCTTCGTTCTTGTAGTAGTTAAATTGTCCTTCAAATCGCATGGCAGAAGAATAAACAGACAGCATAAAAAAACTTAATAAGATGGTGTCTATGACCGCATTCAGCAGATACGTAGTTAAAATGTTGACATTTATAATCCATAGTTCAAAGAAATAAGACAAACAAAAATGATACAAAAGTAAATTTTAAAGAACGCTTTCTCATCTGCCAAAAATGATAAACGTCACATCTTTTGCTATACCTTTTACGTATACAATTAACAGGAAACATATATGAACTTTGGCCGATTCCAGATTTTAAGTAATGGATTATTCAGTTCAGTTTATGCTGCAATAAACAAGATTAAGTTGTAGAATATATATATATATCAGCGGAACCATGCCAAAATTATGAATCTGCAAAATTTTTGTTTGGAGAAAAATTCTTTTAAAGCTTTTCTATGCATCTGACTTTTTTTTTCGGGGGGGGGCGAATGAATAATTGCGACTGCTCTATAATAAACCTTTTTTAAGCTTTACATAAAACACATACTTGTTTCTTTTACCATATTGTCAAATATCGGAAACTAATCTAGAAAATGCAAATTCGTAGTAATTGGCTTCGGCCGACAAAGCTAGTGTTGATATATTATTAGTATTGCACATATTTGGGACTCTTGTTTTCTACATTATTCTTTAGAGCATACTATCCCAAACCTTTTGCACTTTCCCCTAATTTTATTTTGTGCAGCGCCCTGGTATTCTTCCAATAATCATAAATTAGATGCCCTTTCAGTGTCATCTGTAGTGTAATAAGTGATGAAAATTTTGGGCATTTATTGCAATTTCACTGCATGGCATTTTTTTAAATTCTTTCTACAATACGAAAGGAGATCATCCGTTATTAAACACGTTTTAAAAACATACTAAAACTCTGAAGTTAAACACTAAGCTCTTAAAGTAATAAATCAAACAAATAAATAAATAAATCTAACACTCTTTTTAAACACTAAAGCTCTTAAAGAAATAAATATAACAAATACGTTAAGATTCCAGTCACGATCTGTATTTTCTTTGGAATTAAATAAACAGCTTCATATGTGTAATGAAAATTTTGTGCGGTGAGACGACGGTGGTGACGCGTAAAGATATAGCTGCAGTCAGGATCGGTTGACATAGTTCTTTATTTTTGGTATAGCATTCTGAAATTACACAGCTAAACTAGAGCAAGAAGAGCTCCCATTCTTCAATAATCACATGCCTGGTTTTTACGGATTTACAAAATACAATTGGAATAAGCAAGAGAGGCGCGGACTACATGTTTACAGAACGGAAGCAGATACGAAGAGTGCAAATATTATGATATTGATACCAGATTACGAATAGCAAATTATGATTTCTATCAGCTGAATAAAAGTTTTGAATTGCGAATGTACTATTATTGTTGAATGAAAGACATCAGTTTTACTTTTGCCATTATGCAAGTACCTGCAACATAAGCGTTATATAAAAAACATGTGATGGGATAATTTTGGCTTCTGTTTTTCATTTGTTTTTAGTATCAAAAACAATATGTTTTTCTTAATTTCCTTCCTTTACTTTTGAATAAAAACTTGACCGTACTTCATTTTTCTCTTTTATTTATTGATTTATTAAATCCCTACTATTAGCTCACCCTCTCCCTATATTTTGTTCAAATTTGCAATCGTTAATAAAATACTTTTTATTTATTCACTCAAGTTCAAATACATTCTTTTAAACTTGTAGTGGATGACACTTGATAATAATACAGTTTTTTTACATAGTAAAGTATTAAAAAAAATTTTTTTAAAGTCAATTCCTATTTAGGTCGATAAAGAAAAATTTTATTTTAGTTACTTTTTATTAACATTATTAAAATTTGTTTTCATTTGTAATTTATGATACTAATGATGGTCTATAATTTCTCATTCTTTCCATCTCTTCTAATACTTCATTATTGCAAGGAACCTTTCCAGTGAGTTTCGAGCAGTCCAGTTCTTCAATTAATATTCCATCTATAACGAAAAAAATGTTAAGAATGAAAAATAACAGTGTTAATAGGAAATGAAAAAATGTTAATAATGTTAATAAAAAGTAACTGAAATAAAAATTTTCTTTGTTGACCTAAGTATAGAAATTGATTTTAAGGAAAATTATATTACTTTATAAGGGATTTCTCCCGCCTTCTTAGCATGCCTTCGTAGTGTAGTGGTCTACACGCTGAGTACGTATTCCGGAGGTTCGTGGTTCGATTCCCAGCGAGGGCGTTGCACATTTTTCATCTCTCCTGCTTTCAAAAAAAAAAAAAAAAAAAAAAAAAAAAAAAAAAAAAAACCCTAATGTCTCTACAGTGGCACCCGATTTAAAAGCGGGCGCTGGATTTGGCGATTGGGTCCCCTAAAAACCCCAGTCGCCCTTTAAAAGGG